TGCTGAGCAATTTTATCAGTTGGTACAGCCCTAGTCTGAATCAAGGCAGCAAACCCATTTACCTGATGTCAGAGCCCAGGTTTCACATCACTAAGGAGTGGAGCCACTCGGTGCCCCTCAAAAAGCCGAATTATTTTTTTCATATTGAAGTAAACTTTTTAAATATATGAAGTATGTGAATATACATATATGAATATTCATATACGAATATGAAGTAAACATTGAAAATAAAACATGTCCTCTCTCTCATGGTGCATGTGTTACTTAAAAATTATATTAAAATAGTATTGAGATTGCAAAGTTATGCATCTGAAACTTAGAAAATATTACATATGCTATTGCATGATCAACATCACTGTTCTCCTTTTGTGCATCTATTTTGGGCACTGAATATAGATGGGATCCTGTAGGAAAACCAAATGTTATCATAGCTTTAGCCATTTGAAATACATTAACAGAATGCTGATGCTTGAACAGCAATGAAAATGGCAGAACAAAGCTAAATAATGCTGTACCTGAGTAACTCCTAAACAGAAAGCTCTGCTTTGAGTTCCCCAACTCTGTGTACTAAAAGAAGGGTGCTTTTTCATGGTAGGAGTAGAATTAAACATGAGCAGCCTCTGATCCTGTAAAATGAGGCACAGTCTGGCAGTGGTCCAACAAGATACTTAAATGTGGTGGGTTGGCCCTGGCTGGCAGCTAACTCCACATCCAGTCACTCACCCACTCGCTGAGCAGGGTCAGAGTGGGAGGAAGAAAAGGCCTTGACACTGTGCAAGTGCTGTTCGGCAACAGCTAAAACATTGGTGTGTTATCCACACTTTAGCCACAGATCCAAAACATAGCACCATATGAGCTGCTGTGAAGAAAATTAACTGCATCCTAGACAGACTCAGTAGACTTAAGCATGTGAGTAGAAATACTCAGCACCAGTAGAATACTGAATTCTCTATATAGTCAAGGCTCTCAATTTCATTTTAGATCTCTACTATCTGGTAGATATTGATGATCTCAAGCAGTAGACCAGCCTTTCCCCCAACGATTTTGTAGGACAGTTCACATGTGGTAGGTTGACCCGCCAGACCCCCACCCAGACATTCTCTCATTCCCCCCTCCCCAACAAGACAGAGAGAAAATAAGATGAAAAAGCTCATGGGACAAAATAGATGGGGAGATCACTTACCAATTACTGTCACAGGCAAAATAGACTTCACTCAGAGAAAATTAATTTATTGCCAATTAAAATAGATTTAGATGGTAAGAAACAAAGACAAACACTAGAACACCTCCCCTCCTGCCCCCTTTTTCCCTGGCTCAACTTTACTCCTTTGCTCTTGACTCTTCTACCTCCTCCCCTGGTCCCCAGCAGCACAGAGGGGATGGGGAATGAGGGCCTGGGATCAGTCCATACCCAGTTCCCTCTCTGCTGCTCCTTCCTCCTCACACGTTTCCCCTAGTCCAGGATGGGCTCTCCACAGGCCATAGTTCTTTCTGGGAATACCCACCTGCTCCAGCATGGTGTGCTCCACAGGCTGCAGTGTGGGTATCTGCTCTGGCATGGTCCTCTCCACCAGCTGCAGGGAAAATGCTGCTCCCCTGGTCTCCTCGACAGGCTGCAGGGGAATGTCTGGTGCATTGCCTCCTCCCCTCCTTCTTCTCTGACCTTGGTGCTCGCAGGGTTGTTTCTCACACTTTTTTCCCTCAGTCCTCGCTGCATGTGCAGCATTTTGCCCCTTCTTGAATAAGTTTTCCTAGAGGCAGCACCAGCATGGCTGAGGGCTCTGCTGTGCCCTGGGCAGGTCTGTTGGAGCCAGCTGGAACTGGTTGCGTCCAGCATGGGGCAGGCCTGGCCTCCCCTCACAAAGGCTGCCCCGGAAGCTCCCCAGCTGCCAAAACCTGGCCACTGACAACCAATACATGACTGAGTTTCATAAAGAGGAATATTGGCTCCACCATTCAGTCCTGGAAGCTGCTTTGGAATAAACTTCCCTTAAATTCCCTCTTCCTTTTTGTTTTTCTCTTCTCTTGACTGTTGCCTTCTGAGGCCCAACACTCACTACCAACTACTCAGCTACATGAAGTATAACCATCCAGTGAGACAGTTTTCCAGGAGACATGTCATCTTTTTTCCCCCTCCCAATTTCCTTATCCCTTTCTATATCATGAAGATTGTGCCTTTCCTCTTCTCCCTCTTTACATTCAGAATACTTGCATACCTAAGAATATTAACCTCATTCCTTACGTTTGGCTCACACCGCCAACTGCAAGCAGTCTGTGCCTAGCCAGGCGGTAGGCATGTCCGGAACACTGTGCTCCACACCCACTACCTCTCTTCGTCAGCCCTTCTGGAGACCAAGTTGAGAGTACATCTGAGGCCTTCTATTTCATGACCAACAATTATTTGGGGGATTTTTTTTTTGGTTTTCTTTTTACTGGTGGTTTATTATTTTTGCAAATTCTACATTATTTTGAGGATATTTAATTTTCAGCATTTTTCACAGCTGTCATTATGGGCATTAGAGATATGTGGCAGCTAAAGCTGTAGTTATAAAATCTGCCTCACTTTCTGTCTTGATTTGTGAACTGCTACAAAATCAAAACCAGAAGGCAAACCAAAACCAGACAGAATGCTGAAAGGGGCCAAATTTTCTGCTGGTATCAAGGGGCACTACTATTGTCAATGGAGATATATTTATACATGCAATTATTTAGTCCACCCTATTTGTATTTGTCTGCTACTACAGTTTTCATAGCAATTCAGAGATCAAGACAGAAGAGAAGCATGCATTTTTGCAAGCCCAACAGACTGTCCATTATTTCCTTCTTCCTCTTGGTGGTATGAAATAAACTTTCTATTCATGCTTTGTACTTCACAGAGAACTAGTTTTCTTTATCACAGAATCACAGAATGGTAGGAGTTGGAAGGGACCTCTGGAGATCATCTAGTCCAAAATATGTATAATTTATAATTAATTATACTTCATAAAAGATAATATTTGATATAGTTAACTAATATAATTGTAGCTAACTCAGTCTTAAAAATTAACTGAAGAAAGTATCAGGTCTGAAAATGAAAACTGTAAAAATCACAAATAATCATGCCCATAGCATATCTGGAACATACAAGTGTACAGTCTGCAGGTTACCATGGAAGTGGAACTCCCTGATGCGCTTTTCGCATGATTAAGCAAAACTTCCTCATTAGAATTTCAAACATCTGCCCCTGTTTATTGATCTTTAAATCACATTGTAGATTCAAAGATTATACATAAATTACACTCAATTCCACTTACACAGGTAAACCTTTTATTATCCTATCTCATTTCACAAAATAAATAGTTATTACAAATAAATGGGAAATAGTGTACCCGGTGTAGTGAAGTGAATAGCCCTTTTAAATGTATGGATTTCTGAAAAGGGAAAGGTGAGTAGTTTTTCACTTTCAAAGTATTACTCTTAGTCAAACAGAAATGAAGCCCTAAAATTGACAGCTGAGATACCAGTTAATGGATAAAGAAAATTACAGTTTTAACAAAACATATGGACTAATACAGTTAAAAATAAATCATAATATGTGGCTTAAACTGACTTGTAACTTTTTAATATGTGGTTCTAGAAACTGCAGATTCGGCAAAATGAAACATGCAGACTCTGTCAACAGAGAGTTTACCCAATGGAATGCCTGGTTGCCGACAAGCAGAATTTTCATAAATCATGTTTCCGATGTCATCACTGTGGCAGTCAATTAAGGTAAGAAGTAACTGCATGTTGAGTCATAGAACTGGGCATCTGAATACAAATACAGCCAATGAAATTATATTCAACTGGGCTATTCAGCCTGTAGGATGTTGTGTTGACAGGGAGGTACCCTGGGTTCTCCTTTTCTTCTCTGCTACTGACATCTGTACTGTGACATGGAACACGTGCTTTAAATTCTCTAAAGAACTGCTTCATCCCAGTACCTTCCAAATTTTTCTGTGTATTACTTCCTACTGACTGTTCCAGACCTTCAGGAGAGCTCATCAACCAGAAAGAGCAGACAGAGAAACTTGGGTGGAATTTAAGACATTTGAACACAGACCAAATTTTCTCTAACTTTTTCTTATCCATAAAATGAATGATGATGTTTCTCTGCATTAGCAAACCACGCTTGTAACCTTTATATGAAATGCAGTATTTGTTGCTCTATCGGACTGCAAAGGCTAACAGTTCTGACCTTAACACCTTTGAGGTTAGTTACACACATTTCCTTCATTTAGGAGCAGAATCCAAATACAATTAAACACAAATTTCTGTAATTCACACAAATTGGTACTGTATTTTCTCCACCCATTTTGTAGAAAAATAGAGGATTTGGTCTTTAATATGATGATGAAAAAGGTCCCAACAACACCAAAGTGCTGTGGAAAATTCCTATTTGAAACTTATCCTGTGCAACAACTGAATAATTTTACATTCTTTCTCAAATCACAAAGCATGACTCTTGTCCTTTAATTTGACCTCGAAATTGTAAGGGAATTTGCAATTAAAGGTTTTAATTATTTGTGTGTGTGTCTGTGTCTATGGTCAGAATTGGCCAAAACATTGAATTTGCTCTCTTTTTGCCTTTCCTTTCTCTGTATATACTGTCACGTATATATACTTGAAATACCAAGGAAAATGTAAAATTCATGGTAGATTTATGATATGTAAAAGTATAAAACAAATTTTCTTCCATTTGGCAGCTTGGGAAATTATGCATCTCTCCATGGAAAAATATATTGTAAACCCCATTTTAAGCAACTTTTCAAATCAAAAGGAAATTATGATGAAGGTTTTGGACACAAGCAGCATAAAGAATTATGGAATTCTAAAGATCAATGTAGCTCAGTTGGCAATATTCATACTGAAGAAACAAATTCCATTAATAGGATACCTGTTGATCTTAAACCTATTACAGAAATTGATCAAGACTTGTACTCAGGTACTGAAGGTACTCATCCTGATGTTTTGGATAATAATTTGAAAAAATCCACAGAAAGAGGTAAATTAAAGATGACATGGCCTCCTTCAACAGATGATGCAACACCTAAGAAAACATTTTCTGTTGAAGAAGTGGCTAAAGTAAATAAGCCAAAGTGGCCCCCAGAAGGTTTTGCTCAGGAAGGTTCCAGTTTACACACCAATAAACCTCTGGGCAATAAAAAGGATCCTCAAAAAAAAAATGCAGTGAGAGAGCAAAATACAAATAACACTGCAAATGCACAAAAAAATCAACACTCATCCTTTAGCTCTCTGTCTGAAAAAGAAGCTACAAATACCTGTAAAGCAACGAGAGATGAAGCACGCAATATGGGAAAAGATGAGGAAGCCGGGAATGTGCAAGATAAGCTGAATAAAACAGGAGGATCACAGAATAGGGAGGAGACTGGAAAGGCTATTAATGAAGGTGATAATGCGACTGTGCATAGTGCGGGGAAGGAGCAAGAGGAAAGAATTAATGAAAGAGATGATTCAGAAGTTGTACAGGTTACTAACATTGATGATGTAACAGTACAAAAAACCCACAAGGAATTCAGCTTGAATAACAATAACAATAACAATTATGACACCTTTTCACATCTAAACATTTGTAGGCAGGAAACAACTCTCTCGGCTATGTCTAACCCAATGACAGCATTCAGCCATGCAATTTGCACTGTATTGCAGCATGCCTTTGCAAAGCTGGAAAATCAGTCTGGAAATGAAGAAATATTTGAGATGTATGAATCTCATGAGAGCAATACTGTAGCTGTTTCATGGGATGAACAGAACTCAAAAGATGAAGATGCTGTTACCTCTAATACTCTTACTCAATTTAATAAAAATGCCACTTGTCAGAAGTCTCGTATTAATAGCACATTAGTTTTAAAGGAAGCAACTAATGCAACATTTCCTGTTGATACTGAGTTGGTACGCATTGCAGAAGCAAAATATGACAAAAACTTAAATACTATTTATCTGACACTCTGAAAACATCTTTTCTTAAAAAAGACAACCTGGTTTTAGACTGTGGTCTAATAGACTTAACTAAAAATTCCTGTAGCTCATATTCAAAAGAACGTGGGAATTACAATACAGAACTGAATGATATTAATGCCCATCAAGAAAGTGAAATAATCAAAATGTCAAAGAATGACATAAACACAAGCTTAGATTTACTGAGCTCAAGATATACAGTGGTTCCATCATCCCAAGGCGAGAAAGTCAAGTTCAAACAGCTCACTGCAGAAGAACAAATTAAAAGAAATAGATTCTATGATGAAAATGAATAAAACAGCTAAGTGATCAGCTACATCTGTCACTCATTATAAAGTATGTTGTAAATACATATTTCTTCAGTCCAATTATTTTAGTCCTTCTTGAAGAATATAATATCCAGAGACTACATAAGAAAATTTGTATTATATACTGTCAATTACTCAGACTTTATTTCATTATATTTAAGGCAATGAAGATGCATAAAATAGAATTTTTTCAGTCTGTATTTAAAACAACTTGTCTATGTTCCTGAACATTGCAAGAAATATTTTACTACATGACTGTCCTGCAGAAACGTAATACAATTTTACTGTTTATCATTTGTATCAAATTAAGATGTGAAACACCCGATGAGCACAAAATAAGAAAAAGTAATTCCATAAGTTTTTTCTTATGTATTCTTATTATTGTAACTGAGCTGTTGCTCCATGACATATGTACATTTGTTGTGTTAGCTCATACTAGAAGATTTGGGGTTTGGTTGGGTTTTTGGGGGGTGGTTTGTTTGGTGGGTGTTTTTTTCAATATCATGCAGTACTTAAGTTTGAAATGGACTCATTACTGAATAGTAACCACGACTGGTTGGTGAACAGTACTGGTTTGCTATATTCCTAGAGCTGCTACTATGGCATTATGTTGTATGACAGGAAAAAAAAAGTGTGTAAATTTTAACACAGGATAAAAAAAAAAAAACATTCTAGGCAGAACTGGAACAAGGTTTGGGATCACTGGGCAATTAAGACTAGTGGTGGTTTCATTAATTAATTCAAAGTCATTTTAACTGAAGCAGCTTTCCAGTTTCATACTTAAACCTGTACAAACTTGTGCAGATTTAGCATTTTTTTCCTTAACATGTATATGGATTAACATTTGCTCTCTTAACACTATTCCAGCTTGCATGAAACTGCAACATACCATTTAACTGTTGACAATGCATAATAAAAAATCACTTTACAAAAAAGTATTTCATGACTTTTTTTTAATATGAATTTATACATATGATTTTCCTTAAACAGTTTGTGAAATTCTTCACCCCATAATTACTTTAAAGTGTTTGGCAGAGTGAAAGGGAAGACTAATCAAAATACAGTTTTCAAAATAATTTCTGAAGTATCTGACAGAGACAGGTGTTTGGAGGAGTTTACAAGAAAGACATGTTGATGTAAAACATTTAAGAAATTATTGTACAGAGTTCTCGCACAAAATTATCTGCTGCACTACAACTCATTGCCCAAAGCAATGGGATTGTGGGCAAGTGGGATATCCACATGTGACTGTTCTTCTATACCTACATAGAAACAACTATAAAGTAAGTATACATGTATGAGAAAAGCCATACATAGTTATTTCTTCCACAAGAATACTTCAAGACAGTGAAGCCTCCTCTTTATGCATCATGCTTCACTCCTCTGAAGTACTCTCATGAAATGCAGAAATATAGAAAAGACCCCTTAAAATGAATGTTCTCAGAACAATAATTAGCTGTCAGGCAAGGCACTGAGATACCAGTGTATTTGATAACTTTGTTAAAAAGCATTAGCCTATAGGCCACTCTGAACATTTAAAAATTATTTTGGCAAGAGTGCTCTTTCTTATTCTGCCCTTTCCCCCCATTTGGTTGTAACCATGATAAATTATTTTTAAAAACCCAAGAGATTAGTAAACAGATCTAAATGACTTTGCTTTTTTGAGTAGATAACACAACTAAAAAGAACATTGACAAAATTCCTGCTAAGACAACCAACAAAAATCTCAGAAAATGCAAGCCTGAAGGAAATCAAGGGAATTTGTCTAAAATATTTAGAGCTCTATACAGACTAAACTTTTAAATCTCCTCATTCCCCAAAATTTCTTATTAGGCCTAAGATTAGTTTTGACCTTATTAGTTAGGAAAGAGGAATGATCTTGAAGGTGAAATGGTGGGTGTTTGTTTATGTGCACATGCATAGATGTGATCAAATCCGAGTTAATAATTCAAGTGAAAAGCTAATATGGTTGCAACTTTCGGACCTGAAGTTCAGATCTGTGCCAACTTTCATTCTTCTGCATATTCTGATGAATTTAAACTTGTATACTACAAATCTAAGTTAGGATAATAAAAACTCATTTAAACCAAGAAATTAATGCCTCTGAAAATATCCTTACAAAATACAGACCTTTTGATTCCTCTAAACAAGATAAAAACATCACCAAATATGAGCTACAGAAAAAGCAAATTCCCTTTGGTCAGCTGATGACTGAAATAAAGGGTTTCATGAAATAGTAGAAAAAAGCAGGACTATAGGGAAATTTTTATTCCCGGGGGAATAATAGGTAAAGTCAACATACATAAATGACATACTGTATGGGGCAAATCTCCTTGGATATTCTATGACAGAGATTCTGCTTAGCATGGGACAAACACAGAAGTGCAGAGCCTTCCTCTGGAGGATTCATTAGCTTTGCACTCTTTTCTCTCAGTGGGTGGCCTTTTTTCTTCCTCCAGTAGTGAGGATGAATGTTAAGGAAAAATTAAATTGTATTGCATAATTATTTCTTTGAAACATAAGCCAGGTGTCCCATCGTACTGTATTGGAAGTCTTACACAAATCATAAGGATGACAGACACCCTGTAAACCTGTTCTAGAAAACTAATAGCCATGGGTAATAAAAATTTGTAAAAGAACATAAATTATCTGAAAAAAATATTGAAGTAGAAGAGTTCTTCAGAACTTCAGCCAAAAGCTTAGAGCGTAAGTAATCAGAGACAAGATAAGGCTGAATCTCACTGAAATGTCTGTTTGTCTTACTCCCTTTTCCATAGAAGGCAAAAGAGATGGGAGATTGTGTATGCCTGAGTCACCCTAATGTATACATACATTACCACTACACAAGTCATACTCTGGAGAGAATGCATACAGCAGCTGGAAGTGAGATTGGGATAAAAGCTGTAGCTAGAAAGTACCATCCTTACACATTTTCTTTAAATGAAATTCTAAATGAATAGTAACTCCTCAGATGTCAAACTGCCTCATGTATTTTAGCAAAACCATGCAGATCTACTGCAGCCACAGAGCTGGTCATTACAGCTTTAAAAGAACTAGCATCCATTAGAGCTGTACTTTTGTGGAAGTTGTTACTCTAAGTTGAAATATCTTTAAGTTAACCTCTAGGCTTTCTAAGTACCTGAGTTTAAATAACCAAACATCAGTTTGTAGAAGTCCCATTCTGTGAGGAGCTTGATGGCTCCTGAGAGGAATCGAGGTATCAAAACCACCATTCTCTCAAATAATTTCCTCTGGCTACTCCAAGGCTTCACCCCTTAGCTCCTGGACAGGATACCAAGCAATGCCTAGGATCAGGAACTTACAGTCACAGAGGGCAGAGCTGATCCATTTCCAGCACAGCTACAGCCAAGCACTGTTCAACAGCAAAACTGCACTGACAAGTACCAGTGAAATGAAACTTCTCCTCATCATCATTTAGTACAGCAGACTTTCAGTCCGAGAAGTCTGTTTTCACTAGGTATTATTGGCTAGTGAAGATCTTCTGCTGCTTTTAGAACACAGCAGGGTTCATGTATTCTTCTGTACTCAAAAAGCACCAATTACAGAGATTAAAGAGCCTGATTTAATGTCTTGTTAAGGAGCTTCTAAATTGCTGGGCCAGCACTGGACTTTAGAGGACTTCCAAATCTGCAGTCCCTTTACAGCTTCATTAACATAATTGGCACGGAGACTTACTTAGAACTACTTAAATTGTTTTTATAGCTGCAGCATATCAACTGATCCCTTTGGAGTCTTTGTAGAGTCAGAGGTGTCCTCAAAACTATAGAGACACCTAATAACACTTTTACTATACTGCTGAAGTGGACTCCTAGGTGAAAGGCTCGCTGAAAGCAAATGCATGATTACTGCAAAAAGTGTACTTGCCTTGTCTGTCTTCTGTTAAGCGTTTATCTCCTTCATACATATTAATAGGAATACATACACTAGTATCTCAAAAGACAGCGTGCTCAGCATGGACACTAAAACCATGCTAAGGATCTGCCTTATTCTAAAACAGACCATTTCTTGCAATATCCCTCCCATAAATAACCATAGTTCAGGCCTTATTTTCAAAGTGCAGGATAATTATCAGAATTACTTATCTAAGATTTGGGTCACTTCAGTCAAGTACACCTCCAGCTGTTAGGTATAATTGCAAAAACATTAGCTACCCTGGGTACACTCACAAAAACAGGAAAACATGAAGTCAAAAAGAGATAGATTAAACGCTTTGCCTCTTTTCATGCTTTCATCCATTAAGAAGCACCTAAGTTAAATCCTTTGGGTGAACTTCACTGACTTTCACAAGCAGCATTTCACCGTGTATGTGGGTTACATTTGATGACTTTGACATGAAAAGCATTTTTAAATGTTTTAAAGAAAGGAACTGTGTTAAAATGGGCTTAGGAACATAATCAGACTGACCTTACTTTCAGGCTTTCTAAAACATTAAATGACAATTTAACCACAGAAGATATGAATTTTTAGTTAGTCCTTAAACAAAAAATAAGGTAGTTGTGTACCGCTTCAGGAAAATTCCAAGTCTTACCTCTCCATGGACCTATTCCTATATCTTACCTCCCCTCTCTTGGGGTAGGGTGTGGGAGAGAGTAAGAGCGAATAAAGCCTTCATATGTATTATGAATGTGTTTTTCATTAACTGAGTACATTACAATTTTATTAAAAACAGACATGAAAAATCTACCACACATTTGCAGCAGGTAATTTTTAAAATCTCATCATCTGGTTAAATAATAAAAAAAAAACCTCCTAGAAAAACCTCAGAGGGACATCTAAGTGATGACAGCTAATTTCAAACCCACT